GCCCGTCTCCCTCAGCACCGCGATCCCCCTCAGCAGCGAGGGCTCTTGACAGCGTGTCCCTCCTTCCTCCCGGGTTTTCGGCACCAATGTAATGTTTGTAGTCACGGGAAGAAGGAGAAAACACAAAATAAACTCCAGGCCTGGTCCTCTCTCGTCTTTCACTGTCGTCCCTCTTCCTTTTTATCCTTCCGGAGCTCCTCCGTGAGACTCGAGACCGGTGAGTGGCGCAGGTGTCGCGCATTAGCAATTACTCCACCGGCCTCGCTCCGTTCCCACGGCTCTCTGCCCCGCCCCTCTCGTCACAATGCATAACAGCGTAATTGGAAGTAACAGTAGAAGAAAGGAGCGGAAATTCACACAGGCAGGCATGAAAAGACGCAAATGAGCTCTGGACTAAACGGGGAAAAATTCACCAGCATCTCCTCAGACTCCCATCTCAATTAAGAGCTAACACAATCCAAACATCTAACCATGTCCACTTGCTCCAATGAAAGCACAAATCTGCCTTTGGCCTATTTTAAGCTCTCTGAATGGTTAGTGTATTTTGCTTGTACTTTGCCGCAGACGGCTCATCAGGAGTCTCCCCGGCATATCGGATGAGTTAGTGTGCCGCGCCTTGAATTCAACCCACCAGGTCTTCCTGGCAGCCTGGCACAAGTGCTTTATGACTCAGGTGCTCGGAAATGCCATAAATTTGGGTTTTGCTAAAAGAGAATTAAGAAGATGACTCAAATGGCTGTCTTAATCTCTGCAGATCTCAGAAAGGCAATGGGTCAATCACTATATTAGCAAGCTGCAAGAAACGAGGGACTGTCAAAAAGAAGGCGTGAGAAGAATGAAAGAAAAGAGGGATGACTAAAAAGAGTATTGCTCCATACCGCTAGCAGCTCTGCTCTTCTGCGAGGCGGCTCTATGCCCGCTGAGCATCTGTGTCACCGCACGCCACACCGAGGCTGCCAATTTCGCATGGGCACACACCGGCACTCACCGTGCCACCCTCTGATGCTCTCCAGCAGCACCGCCATGCCACATTCGCCTGTGTGTCCTCCCTTCTCCTCCTCCCTGATGCACAGGGCCTCTCCAGCTGCAGCTTAATTTCCTGTGACTTGCCTAATTACTGTAATTAAGGATTAATTGCCATTAATTATTCACACATAAGCTCATCGCAAATCATGGGGTAAATGTCTTCTGAAAGCTGCCATACTAGCCATGGATAAACACACTGGGATGCTTCAGGCAGCTGAATCTATCACTCCACCCTGCAGCAAAGAGCCCTCCTGGCCCGCCAGTCTTACCAAAACAGCCATAACTCTCCACGAGAGAAACGTCAAATTCGACCCACAAGAGGAGAGGTTCTGTCACACCTAGCATGTTCTGCTATCAGTGCTTACACTACTGTAAAGATGGATGGAGGCAGGCCCAAAGAGCCAGGCAAAGAGTGCTGGAACGGGCCGCCATAATTTATGCAAGTTTAACATTTGGGGAGAAAAAAGGGAGTAGAAAACCTCTCAGAGAGAGAATTTCAGCAGCTGAACTTTGAAGAGCTTATCGGCTAGTTTAAACAAACAGCTCATGTAAGGCAGTGTAGACAGGGCATAAGTAAAAACCGAACTGGATTTATGCCATTCCATGACACACAAGGTTACTGTGAAAGGGGATTTTCCTCAGACTGAATCACATTTAGGCATCTCAATTCCGCCATTCACTCTTTTAATGCAAACTTTAAATACTTACAAACTCCAGCAAAAACTACTTCAAGGTGGTACCAGATTTTATATCATTTCTAGATTGAAGATGACCATTAGGTGGTCCAAAATGAGCTCTGGTTGACCAGATGAAATACTAGCTGACAGCTACCAGGTAGAACATCTTGGTGAAGTATCTCAGAAATTGCCCTAGCGTTTCTGAGGCAATAGTTTTAAAAGCTCACGCTTCATAAAATCATAATAATGGCCATCATGTAAATCTGCTGAATATGAAATGTCTGCCGGGAGGCGGCATGCAAACAGTATTTAAAAAGCCGACACTTTTACAAGGCCTTAAATCAGCCTAGCTTCAGTCTGGTCCTCAACACTAGAAGCTCGGAAAGAGAGAGGGAGAGCGAGACGAAGAGAGTCTGATGCCTCGCAGCTGGTCTGTGAAACTTCACAGTTGTCTGACAAACTCAGTCATAATACACCAGGCTGACAATTACTCCCCAACCCTTGAAACGGGGTCTCTAAAGTGTCTGATGCTTCAGCACTAATAGGGGACCAGAGAAGTACTCTAGTCCTAGGTCTTTAAGCATAAACACTTGCGGAATAAAAGAGAGGCTGAGAAAGAGAGAGAATAAGAGTGAGTTGGGGGAAAAGAAAGAGTGGGAAAGAGTGAATGAGAGAGGCACTAATTGTTATCTACTGGAGCCTTCTGCTCCAGATTAATGCAGGAAAACATTTTCATTTGGGTACATAAGTTTGTTTGTCTGATTTAAACATTTATGCTAATGGCCCTTCTGCCAGCTCTTTAATGCTTTACACACTGCTGTAAACAGCCCCTGAGCTTATCCATCACACTTGCACTCCCTCTCGCTCTCCCTCTCTCTTTCTTTCTCTCGCTCTTCACTTCTGTATATATATGGAATCCAAGACAACACAAGAAATAAGACAAGTGCAACTACATGGTGTCTCTTATAAACACACACATATTTACTTAGCTATCTAAACGAGGAGATTATATCAGCGTCTGTACATATACTGTTTAAAGAAATTAACATTTTTAATTAAAAAGGATGCGTTAAATTAATTAAAAGACATTGATTGACTCTAAAGACATGTATAATGTTACAAAATATTTCTATTTCAAATAATTGCTGTTCTTTTGAACTTTCTATTCATCAACTAATCTTGGAAAATATTAGATTCCAAAAATATTAAGCACCTCAACTGTTTTCAACATGAATAATAATAAGAAATGTTTCTTGAACACCCAAAATCAGCATATTAGAAAGATTTCTGAAAGATCATGTGATGCTGAAGACTGGAGTAATGGCTGATAAAAATATGTTTTTCTTGACATCACAGGAACAAATTTAATTTTTAAATAATAGAAAACAGTTACTTTAAATTGTAATAATATTTCACAGTATTACTGTTTTGATTGTTTTTTGATTAAACGAAGCCTTGGTGAGCATATAAGAGATTTTACAAAAACGTTTAAAAAAGTGTTTGAACAGTAGTGTATACAGAATACATTAAATATTTTATCTATGTTAAATCATAACTCTAGCGCAAATTTTTTTTTGACATTGACACTTCAGAAACAGCAGTAAAACTTTGTCTGTCTATGTCGGTCTATGTTTGGGCTGTGCAGCCCCTCTGTGCTAATCGTCCATCTGTTGTCCTCATCTTAGCGCTTACAGACAGCATTAAGTGACACAGACCCCATGGCACATTCAAATCTCGCTGTCTTCTGGGTTTAGTCTTCATCTGACACCTTTCAGAGTGAGCATTCATCAGTATCACTGACACTTAATTGATACTTACTAATTTCTCCTCTTTCTCTCTCTGGCTCTCTGTGTCAGCTGCCAGGGGCCTCAGCGGTGCCCTCATTTGTGGACTTCCAACCGACTCCACAGGGGTAATTACACTTTATGTGTTAATTGGTGTAAATACAAAGATGGGAGCTACACCTGCACATTTCACATCACAACTGGAAACTGTGAGCAGATCGAACAGAGTGTATGGATGTGTCTTTCTGTGTATGAACGCGTTAGTCTTACACCAACTGGCCTGTCAGGAATGCTGTGGGATGTTTAGGCTGCCTTCTACATGTAATTTAAACTACAAATGTTTAATTACAAACATCAAAAATAAAAAATTTATTTAAAATAAAATGTATTTTAATCCAAGTATAATTGTATTTTATTTTGCATTAAACAGTTTTTGCTATTGTCACTTTAAGACATCTTGTATGCAAATGATAATTGTTATGACTGACAGCCGTCCAAATACAGTTCACACTGAGGTGTCTATATGTAAATGAAGGCAGTCATATAGTGTGTTACAGTGATATGCTCACAGTTGTGATGTCAGAACCACAAAAACAAGCTCCCATAAACAGTCAAAGTGGACTGAGGAGGAAGCTTTTGTACAAAGCGCACATTAAATATATTTTATTAGATGCAAGGCATTTTCTATGCTGTACGGTATCTGTTTTTAAGTTGTATAACATTCAAACACACTAACATACCCAGAATCCTACTTTTTTTTCTTTCTGTTCCACCACTGTGGAGCCCTTTGGAAAGTGTCTGTTGTCAGCAGATGTCATTCCACTGGAGACAAAGGAAATGAGAAGGGCTTTGGATATCATCAGCATAGAAATGAGCCCCTCTCCCTCTCTTTCTCACACGGCTTGTACCACAGTCCTAGCCCGGACCCCAGCCCGCGGCTCCAGCCACTGTGCTACCTTTTCAACTTGCAAATGACAGTGTCACCAAACGCTATCCTTCCATCAATCAAGTCAGGGGGGTCATGAATATACAAAAGGCGAACGTGGAAGCTCGGCCACCTCCCGCAGCTTCGCTTTGCCCAATTATAAAGCTCTCTCTCTTTTTCTCTCTCGCTGCCTTGCTTTCCTCGTGCGTTGTTTGTTTTTATTTTAAAGGGAATAGTCACGTTCAGCCGTAGGCTAAAACAAGGTAGGTCAGGCATGGTGGCCCTTGTCAGAAAAGACTGCAAATGCAGGTACAGGCTGGATAGCCAATGTCATCTCTCTTTTTCGTCACTACTTCTGAGGCTTGGTCACAGGAATGGTACATTAAGGAAAAGTGCACATATGTTAGCAGACGGGCTGTTAATAATAGAATACGGAGTTAAATTGTACACACGCGCAAAAAAATTAACATGCGCTCCCTTGATACACCCTCCTCAACACAGGAACAACCCTACAGCCACCCCTCTCTCGCTCGCTCTCCCTCGTTCTCTCTCCCCCTGGTCCAGCTGTCAGCTCCTAGCGTGTGCATTAGCATTCTAAGTGATCCACGGCTGCCTTCTGATGAATGTGTGTGTGTGGGTAACTAATGACCTCCTTGCTGCAAGTGGAACTGATAGTCAATGGCTGCCTCTGATCAATAGCACAGAGCTGGGCCTGGCCACAGAGAAATCATTTCCAAGGCCAAAGACATCTCTTACGCGCAGAGACAGCGCGGCTATCATCAAAGGCATGGAAAGAGAGAGGAAGAGGGAGGTGGAGTGAAAAGGAATGGTCAGTTTCTAAGGAGAGAGAGAGTGTGAAAGCAGGAGAAATATTTTGACATAGGATCCTAATGTACTAATTTGTCACTTCGCTGCAGTGGTTCGCAACTGATTTTTATGTTGCGACCCGGCACTCAAAATTGTTTACTGTACAAAAGTAAACAAAAAATGAAATGCATTACTGCTGCGTTCTTTGGGAATGAGGGCATGCCATTCAACCTGCAGTTTAGCCCCAAAATATTAGGTTTAATTGGACATACAGCATGTGACATGAACAATAGAGACAGTAAACCCATTTATCTTACTGTTCTAAATATGGCTGTTAGTCCCCAGTTGAGAACCACTGCTTAAATGTAAACATAATTTCATTCTGGTCTCAGGTTACAGTAAACATGGCATTACCACTTCTCTTATTTGCTTTCAGTATAAATTATATACACTGGGAGCAAATACGAGAAGTGGTAATATTTTACTAAAGCTTCTTGTCAAAATCATCTTTTTATCTTTTAAAATACAGCATTGTTCAACTAAAACGGCTGGTTTAAGTTTAACTATAGTAAAGTGATTTTATTCAGTCTTGTAAATACAGTTTTAACCTACTTCACACCAGGAAATATATGTGGAGAAAAATAAAAACTGTGTATTATCGATTTATATAAAATTCAGGATAGGATCCTAAAAATAAAAGTTATGAAAGGGGGTTTTCAAAGCTTTCATTGAACCATTTTGTGTTCCCCAAAGAACCTTGCAGTGAATACTTCTTAAAATAAACTTTTTCCATTATATATATATAA